AACTTCTAAGGAAGGAGATTCCACCACCTCCCTAGGTAACGCATTCCAGTGTTTCACCACCCTCCTAGTGAAAAAGTTTTTCCTAATATCCAACCTAAATCTCCCCCACTGCAACTTGAGACCATTACTCTTTGTTCTGTCATCTGCTACCACTGAGAACAGTCTAGAGCCATCCTCTTTGGAACCCCCTTTCAGGGAGTTGAAAGCAGCTATCAAATCCCCCCTCATTCTTCTCTTCTGAAGACTAAACATCCCCAGTTCCCTCAGCCTGTCCTCATAAGTCATGTGTTCCAGACCCCTAATCATTTTTGTTGCCCTCCGCTGGACTCTCCAATTTTTCCACATCCTTCTTGTAGTGTGGGGCCCAAAACCGGACACAGTACTCCAGATGAGGCCTCACCAATGTTGAATAGAGGGGAATGATCACGTCCCTCGATCTGCTGGCAGTGCCCCTTCTTATACATCCCAAAATGCCATTGGCCTTCTTGGCAACAAGGGCACACTGTTGACTCATATCCAGCTTCTCATCCACTGTAACCCGTAGGTCCTTTTCTGCAGAACTGCTGCTTAGCCATTCGGTCCCTAGTCTGTAGCAGTGCATGGGATTCTTCCGTCCTAAGTGCGGGACTCTGCACTTGTCCTTATTGAACCTCATCGGATTTCTTTTGGCCCAATCCTCCAATTTGTCTAGGTCCCTCTGTATCCTATCCCTACCCTCCAGCGTATCTACCACTCCTCCCAGTTTAGTGTCATCTGCAAACTTGCTGAGGGTGCAATCCACACCATCCTCCAGATCATTTATGAAGATATTGAACAAAACCGGCCCCAGGACCGACCCTTGGGGCACTCCACTTGATACCGGCTGCCAACTAGACATGGAGCCATTGATCACTACCCATTGAGCCCGACAATCTAGCCAGCTTTCTATCCACCTTATAGTCCATTCATCCAGCCCATACTTCTTTAACTTGCTGGCAAGAATACTGTGGGAGGCCATGTCAAAAGCTTTGTTAAAGTCAAGGAACAACACGTCCACCGCTTTCCCTTCATCCACAGAGCCCGTTATCTCGTCATAGAAGGCAATTAGATTAGTCAGGCATGACTTGCCCTTGGTGAATCCATGCTGACTGTTCCTGATCACTTTCCTCTCCTCTAAGTGCTTCAGAATTGATTCCTTGAGGACGTGCTCCATGATTTTTCCAGGGACTGAGGTGAGGCTGACTGGCCTGTAGTTCCCAGGATCCTCCTCCTTCCCTTTTTTAAAGATGGGCACTACATTAGCCTTTTTCCAGTCTTCTGGGACCTCCCCCGATCGCCATGTGTTTTCAAAGATAATGGCCAATGGCTCTGCAATCACATCTGCCAACTCTTTTAGCACTCTCTGATGCAGCGCATCCGGCCCCATGGACTTGTGCTTGTCCAGCTTTTCTAAGTAGTCCCGAACCACTTCTTTCTCCACAGAGGGCTGGTCACCTCCTCCCCATGCTGTGCTGCCCAGTGCAGTTGTCTGGGTGCTGACTGCAGTTGTCTGGGTTGCAGGCATGAATCCAGCCTTTCTGTCTACACCCCTCCAGGCCCCTGCAGCATCCCCTGCCAGACACTCAGAGCAGGAGTTATGTTGGGCACCTCAAATGCACGGGGGTGGAAAGGCTTCCTGGGTGCTGGAGTCAGTCAAAATCCCCTCCGTCAAAAATGAGAGCCCCAGGGACAGCACAACCTCTGCGTTCCCTGCCCACGTGCTGCGGCTGGGACTGCCCCTTTCCCCAGCTGTGGCTGGAATGGAGGTGAGGCTCCCTAGCTCTCCTGAGGATTTGTGCTGTGGGCCCAAGTTTGACCATTGCCCCTGCTGTGCGTGCTGGCACTGAGAGCCGCTGGCACCGTGGCTGTCTTTCATGCAGTGTCCATGTATGCACACCTCCGGCCAGCTGTGTGTGCTGGGACGAGCCTGTCAGCCAGCAGCAGCAGAGCGCTAATGAGACCAAACAGGGCCCTTGGGTGCGGGAAGCAGGTGTTCAGTCATGTCTAGCTTGTCATGTCCTGGACACAGCTCCCAGAAGGCGTCTGGGGTCCAGAGCAGGACAGGGCGTTTCACACCCAGCAAGGGACGAGGCTTGTTGACATGGCAGGCTGTGAATGTGAACTCCGGAGTGAGTCCCCTCGGGACGCGCTTCCCCAGCATGAGGGAGCTGGGCTCTGGGTTAGCATGCCACTTGGGAAGCAGCATAGACAGGCAGGACTTGGGGATAGGGGTGGCCTGCCCTTGGTGGAGGGGTGGCAGGCAGGTGCCAGAGCGCTCTGCAGCTGGTAGAAGCTGGAGTGTAACTGGCCCTGTGGCCCACAAGCTGTGGTGGGTGGGGCATGGGGGAGCCAGCACGCTGTGGGGCCTGCTCAAGTGTGTCAGCCCCAAGGCCGTGCATGCATGGGTACAGGACAAGGGAGTTGTGTGTTGTGGAAGGATGGGGGCATGGGGTGTTGGGGGGAGGGATGGGGCAGGGAGCATGGGGTGATGTGAAGAGGGATTGGGTGCTGGGGGTATTAGGGGTGTTGTGGAGGGATGGGGCACAGGGTGATATTGAAGGGGGTGAGGGGTATTGGGGAGTCGTAGGCTTGGGGTGTTGAAGAGGGATGGGGTGCTAGGAGTGTTGAGGGAGGGAAGGGGTACTGGGCATGTTGGGGTGTTGTGGAGTGATGGGGCAGGGGGCACAGGGTGGAGTTGGTGTGGGGGGATAGGGGTATTGAGGGGGAATATGGGGGGATGGGGGACTCAGGATGGTGTTGGAGGATGGCGGGGTGGATGGGGCAGGGGGCTCAGGTTAGTGTTGAAGGGGGATGGGGTGAGGGGCATTGTGGGAGATGGGGCGGGGGGCTCCGGGTGGTGTTGAAGGGGGTTGGGGTATTGTGGAGGGATGGCGTGGGGGGCGTTGGGGCAAGGGGCTCAGTGATGTTGTGGGGGGATTGGGGCATTGAGGAGAGTCAAGTGGTTGGATTGTGTTTGTTGCTCCCTGGGGGGGTGGGAGCACTGCTCTCCTGGGGCTGAAGCTGGGGGGCATTCCCAGGCCTCGGCTCCCCTCACAGGAGGCCTCTGCTCCGCAGCCCCCTCAGCAGGGAGGCCTTGGTGCCAGGGACAGAAGGGTCCAGGTGTGGAGTCCCCAGCTCCCAGGATGTGCTGAGACAGGTTTGGTGTTGGCTTCCCGCCCCCCCGCAAGAGCTGCCGCTACTTCCCATCAGCAGGGCTCTGGGGGATATAGACACCCCTGCTGCCCCCTGCTCCTGGGGAGAGATCCAAACCTAAATCTCGTCTGCTCCTGGGGAGAGATCCATCCAGCTGGCCTTGCTTCCTCAGCACTGTCCTCTGGGCCCTCCACAGCTTCCTTGGGTCCTGAATCCCAGCAGGGGCTGCGAATCAGGACACAGGCTTAGGCTGCCCTAATGGGCCTCTGGCACAGCCCCTCTGCCCTGGCAGGTTCCCTAGGCTCTGTGATGTAGGAGCTCCTCTCCTGCAGAGATGGAGGGTGTTTGAGAGCTGGGGTTGGCAGCTCAGAGGCTGTATCCCCACTCCCAGATGAAGGGGGCTGCAGTGTGTACTTCGCCCCTTACCCCCTATATGCTTCTGCCTCAGGGACTCTCCCAGCTCTGCAGAGAGTGGCTGACTCCACTCACTGCGAATCCAGGCCCTCGCGGAGCTGGACTGAGATCCCGGAGCCACTGAGCCCCAGCCCAACCGCTGTGTGGCTGCCCAGCACCTGCTGGCAAGGGTGGGGTGTGAGTGGTGCAGAGCTGCCTGAGTTCTGGGTGCTTGTGTTCAATGGGGGGGGCTGTTAGAAACTGCCAGCCTGGGGGCTGTTTGTGAGGGATCCCTCTCCCCCATCATGCACCTGACCCAGAGCTCTCCCCCACCCCATCCCACCCCACCCCCAGTGGCTGTGCTGCTCCTGCCTGCCTGCAGAGTTCAGAGCCAGATCCCATGGCTAGCGAGGGAGCAGAGTTGTGAGCCAGCACTGTGTGTGGGGCTTTCTGGGACAGTGGGAGCTCCCAGCCACAGCTCCATTAGCTTCTCCCCAGGGCCAGGCTGGCCCTCACTGGGTTACTCTGCCGGATGTGCTGCTGCTTCTCTCAGCTGGGTGGCTGGGCATATGCTGGGCAGGCCAGCACTGGCTCCTGCGCCTGCAGCCCCACGCTGCCTGCATCTAGCACAGGCTTGGTTCACATCCTGTTAGCTGTGTAAGCCTGTGGCACCTCTGCATGGGCATTTAATGCAGCTCACTGCATGCCTGGGTGTGCCATCAAAGTCCATGGAGAGAGAGGCTGCTGGAGCCTGCTGTGGAGAAGGCTGTTCCTGCTCTGCATAACTCTCCATGCAACCTCCTAGGACTGGCCAGTGCAGCAGTGTTCCCATTCACCTGGTGCCCCTGCTCCTGCTTGCTCTGCAGAGCCATGCTCTGTTAACCTGGCTGGCACCTGTCTGTGTGCTGCTTGTGCAGCAGGCTCCCTTTGAACAGCTCTGGCATTGCCCACTGACACCCCTGCCGCTTGGAGGCAAACCTAAATCTCGTCTGATGGCAGCACCTAGCCAGATGTTGAGGCTGCTGTCAGGGAGTGATGTCCTGGCCCCCTGTGCAGGGGCAGAAGGAATGCCAGTCCCCTCTGTTAGGACAGGACTTGGGCAGTGGTCCTGGGTGGAGAGGTCTGTCCTGCTGACAGATACCAGGGGTGTTGGGGACAGGCTGAGGTGGACTCCATTCCAGGCCCCACACAAGGGCAAAGAGACTCTTGGACCGAGTTGAGTTAAAAAAAATAGGCATTTTTTATTCCAGTGTAACTAGAGAATTTATGGTGCAAGAAAGTGAGAGATGGTTTTAGTCCCAATCCTGGATACACTGTTGGGTTGTTACCTAAACAGCCTAGCAGCAGGTCTGCTCTGCTCAAGGAGAGAGCACCCAGGGAGGAGATGGTGTGTGTAGGAACTGCTCCTTCTCTGTTACAGAGAGAGCACGGAGCAGTGCAGGGTTGGGTCATTAGTATCACACTATGCACAATCATCATCTATTACATTCCTGAACTCAACTACTTACAGCTGCTTGTGTGTAGCAGAGGAGGGGAGTAATTGCATTGTTTACTTTGCTGAATGGCTTTGTCTAGTGAAGATCGGAGTGAAATTCCCATCCTCATTAGGACCACACACAAACTAGGCAGCACTTACCTAAATCTAGGGCCAGCTGGTTGAAGGAGCTGACAGTGGGTTAGTTTACGTAGTCGGCAGCATCAGCCTGTGCCAGGAGAATGTCCTCCTTACCCCTGTGCTCTGGGGGATGGAGCATGCTACTCTCCTTCTTTAGGCCTATAGGGCATATAGCCCGTACTGGCTTGTTTGCTGCTGCTACTGTCCTGAGCTAGCAGAATTCTAGTGTAGTAATGCAGGTGCCCCAGTGCTATTGGAGACTACACCCTGGAGGGGAGCTCTCACAAGAAAGAAGCTCAGTACAAGGAGCTGGCCATGTGGCTTTGTAATTAAAGCAAACAACTCTCTAAGCTAGGTCAAGCAAAAGTCTAGCTGACAGTCTCCAGCACTTACGGTGCTCTCCGCACATGCCCAGAGGGCAAGTGGTCAAGTCAGGCTCAGCCTTGCCCAGGATAGTGCTGAACCCTGCAGTGCACTATTCAAGGAAGTCCAGGGCTGGCTGGAAGTGGAGGGCTCAGCCATGCATGTTTCCCTGTGCCCAGTGTTGGACACATGAATGGGGGGGAGCGGGAGAGGGAGGAGGCAGAAGGATCGCCCAGTCTTGTGCCATTGCTAGGATGTTCTAGAAAGACAGATCTGTAAGGATGTTAATTAGCCAATGTGCATCATCCTGAAGGTCAAAGCTGCAGTCCTAACCAGACTGGCTGCTCAGGAGAGCTAGGAGCTACCCAGTGGGCTTCTCTTGAATCAGCCACTGGACAGCACTTGGAGGAAATTGTCCCTGTTCCATTGCCAATAATCTAAAGTGAGGAGAACCCTCTGCTATACCATATTGTCTGGGTGGTGCAGAACAGGATGCAGTCACTTGTGATCCTTCAAAGAGCATTTGATCTCATAAAAGCTAGCTTTGTTTTTGGGTGACCTGCCTGCCTTTAACCACAATGAAGAGGAGAGGCCGACGCCATCAGACTGCAGTCTTGGGAGATATTCTGATCTTCTCTCCCTCCTGGATTGTTTTACAATGTGACAGTGGAGCCTGGAAGTAGCTGGAGCCTGATAAGGATGCATCATAATCCTCCCTCTGGGAGTAACAAATATAAGAAAATGCAGCTCTTCTGCACGGCAGATTGCATCTCCGCATGGTGCCCCTTTCTCCCTCCCCAGCAGTGACTGCTAGCAACCCCACACACACCAATTTTGTCTCCTGGGAGACTGCCCCCCATTTCTGGTCCCCAGCCCGCCTACTTCCTAGGACATGATGGGAGTATCTGAGAAGATGGAACTAATAGATTCTGAGTCTGACTTGAGCTGCAGGAGCTTAGGATTCTTGGTGTCTTCCTCGCTGGCAGCCAGCCTGATCTTACCATTGTGCGCTTCCTTGATGGACTAAAGGAACACCACGTGCTTGCTGGTGCTGATCTTCCGGCTGGGCCCAGCTGGGGCTGGGGGGGTGGTGCTCAGGATGGAGGATTGAGCGCTGCATTCCTGGGGAGGGCTAGGAGCAACGCCTTTCTTGCAGCACTGGAAGCAGTAGCACTGAGTGAGGTACAGGTACATGAGGACTAGCACGAGGCTCACTATATATAAGTAGGGGCATAGCGAGCAGATCGAGGGACGTGATCGTCCCCCTCTATTCGACATTGGTGAGGCCTCATCTGGAGTACTGTGTCCAGTATTGGGCCCCACACTACAAGAAGGATGTGGATAAATTGGAAAGAGTCCAGCGAAGGGCAACAAAAATGATTAGGGGTCTGGAACACATGACTTATGAGGAGAGGCTGAGGGAACTGGGATTGTTTAGTCTTCAGAAGAGAAGAATGAGGGGGGATTTGATAGCTGCTTTCAACTACCTGAGAGGTGGTTCCAGAGAGGATGGTTCTAGACTATTCTCAGTGGTAGAAGAGGACAGGACAAGGAGTAATGGTCTCAAGTTGCAGTGGGGGAGGTTTAGGTTGGATATTAGGAAAAACTTTTTCACTAGAAGGGTGGTGAAACACTGGAATACGTTGCCTAGGGAGGTGGTAGAATTTCCTTCCTTAGAAGTTTTTAAGGTCAGGCTTGACAAAGCCCTGGCTGGGATGATTTATTTGGGGATAGGTCCTGCTTTTGAGCAGGGGGTTGGACTAGATGACCTCCTGAGGTCCCTTCCAACCCTGATATTCTATGATTTATGCACCCGAGGAGGGTTGTGAGGCTGGTACTGAAGGACTCCCCATCCAGCATGGGGTAATGGATAGTCACGTTGATCTCGTGTGTCTTGTTGAGCTGGTGGTGCTTGCTGATAGCCATGCACACATACACCCCAGAGTGCCATGGCTTGGCTGCGATGATCTTCAGGCTCCCGTTGTGGTAAACTTCAAGTGTGCGATTACCGTTGCCAGGGTGCATGATGGGCTCGTGTCGGGGTGAGATCCACATGCAGGTGACAGATGTGTCAGGCATGCTCGTGTTGCAGTTGATCAGCAGAGTCTCTCCTACGAGCACTATGGCATGCATGTCTGAGGCGCCAGGGGAGCCCTGGCTCAGGGAGCAGTTCTCAAAGATCTTGTTGTACTTGAGGAACTTGACTAAGGATCGTGTCATGTTGTCGAACGCCATACACGTGTGTTCCTCTAGGAAATCCTGCACCGAGCTGAGGTGCCGCTGCTGCCACTGCTTGAACATCTGGTAGAGTGAGCAGTCACACCGCACTGGATTGTTGTGGAGATACAAGCCATTTCTCATGTACACAGGCAAGGCTGTGACCTCCTCAATGGGGATTCTGCTCAGGTTATTGGTGGAGAGGTCCAGGGTCATCAGGTTAGGGTGGCTAAGCCCCTGCGTGGAGCTGAAGGGGAATTGGGTTATGTTATTCCAACTTAGGTAGACCTTCTGCAAGCTGCTTAGCCTGAGGAAGGCTTGTTCATCTACCTGTACAATCCAGTTGTTGTAGAGCAGGAGCTCCTCTTTAAAGTGCTTCGAAGTAGTGCTTCTCAATGGCATGCAGGTAATTGGAGGACATGTCCAGGTGTCTCAGGTCTGTGGCATTGTGGAACGCCTGTGGCAAGAGGTCTATGATGCGATTGTGATTGATGCGGAGGGCCTGGAGGCGTGGTAGGGCTGCCAGCCAATGGTTGTGAAGCTGGAAGAGGGCATTGTGGCTGAGATCCAAGGTGGTAGCTGTGGGAGGCAGTGCAACTGGCACCTGCTGGAGACCTTGCTTGGCACAGCTCAGAAGGTCCAAGGTGCATATGCAAACATGGGGGCATCTGTGGGGGATGGCTGACGTGTTTAAGAAGTTGCCTTGAACACATAGCTCTAGGATCGCTAGCAGCTTTCCCAGGCATTTCCAGAGAGTGTGGGCCAATGCCTGTGTGTTCGTCATGTGGCCGTAGGGTCCTGCTGAGCACCCAGCAGCATGGAGAGGTGCTATGCCAGGTTAAGTCTGGCCTGAGCAAAGGCTTGCCAGGCAGCGTTAGAGTGAGCACGCTGCAGCATCAGCTCACCAGGGAGTACTGCTCAGCAAGGAGAGCTATTGATGGGGTGTTCTTGATCGCCAGGCAATTCTTTGACAGTCCAGGACACACAGGCAGGAGATGAGTCCCAAGGAAGGGTCCAAGGTTTAAAAAGAATTAAAGAAAAACAGCCTAGCCCCGTCCTGCTTCACTGGGGCTTAGGGCAACCTCCCATGGGTCCTGGCAGAGGGGCAGATGCAAGCCGGGGACTAGCTTCAGAGCTCCTGAGAACATCAGAGTCCCTGTCTCTGAGCCTGGGTCCCTGGAGCCCAAAGTTTCCATGAGTCAGTGCTCGCCTCCTGGCTGAGCCCTGTGGCACGCCCCAGCCAGGAGCCCAGCTGCGGAGCAACCGAGCAGTGAGCGGGAGCTGGGTTGTGGCCTGGCAGAGCCCTTCCCAGAGTCCTGGCGGAGTCACGCCCGCCCACTGCTGGGGCCGCTATTTACCAGCAGCCGGCAAGCACGGGGGCGGAGCCTGGCTGGCAGGGGCAAGCCGATTGGTCCGCGTAGCAGGGGGTGGGGTGGAGGAAGGAGGAAATTTCTGAATGGCATGTTGTTCCCCCATCATACCACTAGTGGGCAGCACAGCCCTGCGAAGGCCGTTGCGAGCTGGCTCCGAAGCACTGGGCGATTGCAGCAGCTGCAGCGGGAGATTTTATTTCCAAAGGGAAGGGGCAGGGAACAGAGCGGTGAGCTGCCTGGAGGAGTCTCCGCTGCTGGTCCTAGGGCCCAGGCAATGCTTGGTGCTCGCTAATTCCCAGGGGCCACTGCTCCTTGCTGCGGGGTGCCCAGTGTGATTGACACTCCAAGAGGAAGGGACTTGCCCAAGGTCACAGCAGGTCAGTGGCAGAGTGAGGGACAGAATAGCACTGCCAGTCCAGTGCTCAGCTGTCACCCTGGGAGAGGATTCAGTGTCCCCACCAGTTCACTTATGGGGAAACTGAGGCACAGGGGTGAGGCACGACTTGCCCAAGATCTCTGTCTGCGGTGGGCTCGGGACTAGACCCCAGCACTGTGCCTAGTCGTCTAGCACCAGGTGTCTGTCGTGTGTGAAGCCCACATGCCAGACAAAGCTGGTGGGGAGGTTTCCAGTATGGTGCATGCAATCTAGCTCCATGTGCCTTTGATGTGGTGAGTGAGGTCTCTGGTGCTGCTTTGAAACAGTCCCCATTCTGCTGCCAGCAGCAGGGACTGCTGTCCTCTGGCAGACACAGCTCCTGAGTGCAGGCCACTCTCTGTCGCATGCTGGGCTCAAGGGAGCAACCAGGATATCCTCCATGCTGCACCCTCCCCAGGGACAGCGGAACAGAGCGGGGGCTTGGCAGCTGTTTTCCCTCATTAGCATAGCGGTGTGCTGCTTGTCTGAGTGTGCCTCAGGCAGAACTTGGGCTGGATGCAGACCCTGCAGAGGCGTCTGGCAATTCCCAGCAGCTCCTGGGAGCCCTGGCCTTTGAATCACCTTGTTGGTGACTGCTCCACAGACCAGCCTCCTCATTGTGTGTTCTTCCCCCCGTTCCAACAGCCCTGCACTGGTCTGTGCTCTGGCTTTCAGAACAGCCGTCTCCCTGCTGCTTAGGGCCCACAAATAGTGAGCCCCTTGTTCCCTCCTGAGATGCCACTTCTCACTCTCCTCATGGTGTGTGGAAGGCGGTTTGCTGCTGTAGGGCTGGGCCCGGGCTGTGGCATTCGCCTTGTGCCTGGAGAGAGAATTGAAGTATGTTGGCGTATCTGAGGTGGGGAAGGGCAGGGTCCTGTTTTGGAGGGCAGAGGGGGGAGAGAGAGAAATAGACCTGAATTTGCAGATGATAGAGTTCAGATTTTGATGAGACCAGCATGGCTCATGGCCTTTTAAATCATCCACCCCCTGCTCTCTTTAGTCAGTCATGGGTCTCGCTTCCCTCGCTCGTTCCTAGGTTAGGTGGTGGGAGAAGAACCTGTCCTTTCATGCTGCCCAGCCTGGCACCCCCCGTTGCCTGTCAGCTCTCTGTGCACTGGAGGTGCCGTTGCAGTCAGTGCTGTGACTGTGTTGCTGGGTCTAGGAGCAGTCCCTGGTCTGGGGGCAAGGGGACAGAATAGGGCAGGTGGGCTGGGAGTGCATGTGATGGGGCTACCTCTCTCCTGCATCTGGGGGGGGCAGGAGGGTGCTGTGTGTGAGTACCCCTGCCCCTTTGCAGTGATGGGCACTAGCTGTGAGCAGAGGCCGGCTGGGGCAGGTGAAAGCAGTGGCAATGCATCAGGTGCAGGAGTGTAATGCTGACAAACTGGGCAATTTTACTGGAGACGTGAAACTCAAGGCTGGGTGACTGGTTTCCATTAGGGCAGCAAATGGCTAATTTTGCTGCTGCAGCTGCCAGGTGAGAGGGTTGCTAGCTCGCAGCAAGGGGCAGCCTCCCACTGGGGTGTCAGCAGGGCAGGGAGCTCTGTGCACACGTGCCCGCCTGAGGTGCCCTAAGGATACGGTGCAGGCGCCTGTCCCCAGTGCCCATAGGCTTGGGCACCCTGATGTCTGTTTTGCTGCCACACAAGGGCTAGCAGCAAGTTCTACTGCGTTACGTTATGTGGGTGCCGTCAGACCAGGGCTCTGTCCATGCAGCACCTAAGATAAGTCTGGGACTTTGTCCCCTCTTCTGCCGGCTGAGGGAGGGTGATGGCATGTCTTAGAGCTTGCTCATACGAGGGCCTGAGGGGAGAGGGACAAGGGCTGATGAGCTAGGCCTTTGCCTAGAGCTTCCAGGCCGGGGGCTGAAGGGACTTGGCTACGTGGCACCAGGACAGAGGACTCCAAGGCCAATGGGCAGGTTGGGTGGAGGCTCTGGGCCCTGCACAGGCAGAGTGCTCCCAGGGCCAGGCAGGATGCTGAATGGATTGGGTCCCTCAATGGGCACCTGTCCTCTCAGGGGTCCGTGCAGAATGATCCCTGCAATGGCTGCCTTGGCAGGAGCCGTGTTGGGCTATTCCCTCCTCTCCACCTTCTCCACCCTCTGGGAGTGGATCCACAAAGAGCAAGAGTTTGCCACTTTGCACAGTCCTGTTGTGCTAGCCCTGACATTCTCATGTGCAGCGTGGTATGGGAACATGCTAGGAGCCAGCCACAGAGCAAGGGCAGAGGGCGCGGGGCTGCCTGTGAACTGAGCACATGTGCTCTGGGGTCACCTGGACCCGTGAGCCAAGATCAGCTCCATAGCGACACGGAAGGTAAGGGTGCCTTATCCTTTTCACTGCCCTAGCTCTGAAGAGCTGGAGTCGGTCTGGGGCTGCCTGCCCTGGGTGAATGGGCAGGGTTAGTGCTCGGTGCCACAGCAGGGCATTGCTGCGGCTGTGCTTGCAGCCAGTGTCCACCCAGTGGAGGCCATACCCACAGGCAGGGTGGTTGGTTACTTGCCCCCTTTTCGTTATCTTCTGGTTCCATGGGCCGGGCGGCCGCAGTAACCTGCAGGTGCTGTGGCCATAGTGGAGCCCCCTGCAGGGCTGTGCTGGGGATCACACAAACCCAGCAGCATGACCCTGTGCTCAGGCTCAGATCAGGTGGCCAATGGGAGAAGGCTGGGCAGGAACGGCCCCTCCTGCAGTCACTCCTGCGAAGGACTCCATGCCCGGATGCCAGGCCAGGAGGAGGTATCTGTGTCTCCTGAATGTGACCTTGAGCTGCCTGCAGAGCCACTGTGCTGATGCTGTGCTCTGGCAAAGAGCATAGTCTTTCAGCACTCATGAGGAGGCTGCTGCAGTTGTCCTGCCCAGCCCTTTCCTTTATCCCTGTCCCATTGGGAGCCCTGGGGAAGAGACGGAAAGCGTTTCCTTTGGTGGGCTGCCTCCAGCACACCCAGCCTGCCAGGCTGGGGAGCAGGAACTGTCCCCCTTGCATACACCCAGGAATCAAGGAGCACATATAACCCTGCACATGGGAACCAGCCCCAGCACTAGCTTCGCTGCCACACCCATGGCAGCATCCCATCCCTCAGGTGGCCCTGCTGGAGACCAGAGGCAGCTACTCAGGGATCAGGGCACCTGTTCTGGGTGCATTTGCCAAAGAGCACTGGGCAGCTGGAGCTGCTAAGGTGGGGCCTGGGGGTCATGGGCAGTGGGGGCATTAATGCCATTCTGGTTCAGAGGGGTTTAAAAGGTTCCCCTTAAAACTACCTCAGCGCTTACCCACCCATCAGGTCAGTGTGCTGCTCGCCTGGCCTTGGAGAGCTGCCATGGTGGCAGCGTGGCATGTTCCTGTGCTGGCTGAGCAGGCCATGTTGCTTGGGGGAGCAGGCTCTGTACAATCCACCCCACCCCATGAAAACGAGTTGGGACCTGTCTGGCACTCCCTGGCATGCTGCCAAGCGGTGTTTTGGCTTTATTACTTCTGGGGAGGGGAATTGTACTAGGGACATTAACTGCTATCTGCTGCCGAGCCTTTCTGCAAATCCTTCCTGGAGACCCAGCCTGAGGCTGCCAAGGTTTGGAGCTTGACGTCACCTGCCTCTCCTGTTGCCGTATTGATTCAGGTGGCTGAAAGATACAGGACCAAGGGGCTGTGGTGAACGCTTTCAGGAATGATTGATCCCTGCTGGGAAGGGCAGCATTTTTGGACAGGGAGCAGGTTAAGCCCTGAGCTGGTGGTGGAGAGCAGGACCTGCAGGGGGGTTGCAAGGAATGGGACAAGCTTGGAACCACTTACTTCTGAAAGCTAGCTTTTCTGCCCCTGTCCCAGGACAGCTACCTCCTGCAGGGCAGCTCTGAGACTCCCTGGCTGCAGCATGGATACTTGGCTTGGGCCTGGTGGCTGCAGTGGGGTGATAGTTCTGTGATTGCTTGGAAAATGTGACCCTTGAGTTTGACTGCGTTTTTGCAAGGATGAGGTGCAACCTAATGCAAAAGCCGGACCTGTTGTATTAATTTACATGGGCTGAAGGTGTTAATGTGACCCAGTCCCACTCCAACATTAAACTATGTTAAACAAGATCTGTGGTTTGTGATCCAGAGACCTCAGCCTGCAAAGCCCCAGGGCAAACACCCTGGCAAACATCCCTGTAATCTTGTATTAACAATACAGAAAAGATGGAAAACTAGCTGATGCAAGTGAAATGGAAAGTCATTGTAACAACGTCCCATGTTCCCTTTCCCTTTTAGAGGGGAAACCCCCTTGTCTGAAGTCTCTTTGGTGATATTAAAGATAGTACCAACAGGCCTTTTGGGAACAATGAGAAATGAGTTGAGCTGGACTGATTTCTGGTTCCACACCTCTGTTCACCAGGCATGAGTTTACCACCGTCCTTCAGTTGTTATATCTGTAGGATTAACTCAGTCTGTCTCCCCTTTGGGCCTTTCCCCATCAGTGTTTGTTGTGACAGGTGCTATGAAGCTTGAGAGACTTTCATTCACTTGTCACAGTTGAGATCACAATTAGGGAAGATGTGTACTTATCCCCATGGACCCTTTGTTGTCTAGGAGCT